GCCCGCCCCTCCTCCGGGAACCCCGCCCCACTCCCTGGAGCCCCGCCCTTATAAGCCCCGCCCCTACGCCTGCTCACGCCCCGAGGCCCCGCCCTCCGCCCGGTCCCAGCGGCTCCCGGCGCTCTCCGTCTCTGCCTTCGGGGGTTCCCGCCTCTGGGGCGTCCCTTCACCAGCCGGAGGTGGCTGGTGGTGCCCCGGGGCTCGCGCCCGGGTCTGACCGCGGCTGGGGGCACCGCCGCAGCGCCACGCGGTCGCGTGTTTAACAAAGGGACCTTACCCCCCTGTGCCTGAGCGTCGGCTCACGGGAGCCGCCTGGCTCCGCACCGTCCGCCGCGCCGCCCGCTTCGCTGGGCCCGCGAGCAGGCCCTGGGACCGCCTGGGACACGGTGCTGGGCTCCGGATGTTGGAGGGAAACCAGTTCCCGCGCCGTGTGAAGACACAGGAGTGAAACCAAGCACCGGGCCGCTGCTCATAGTCTTTTTTTCCCCTAAATAGGGGCGTTGGGATCTGCGGGCAGGCACGGGCCCCAGCGGCGCGCCTGTACTTGCTTTGCCAATGCACTTGAAGCCCTTTTCCCCAAGTCGACCGCCTGGCCTTTGCCCTCTCCAAAACCACAAGTGAAATAACAAGATGTATTTTGGAATCTCAGAAAGCACAAGAACTCTCAGAAACACCATGTTTGCAAACTGAAGAGGGACAGAAAGTTTTCATAGGCAGAGAAATGACATCCCACAAATGGGGACCGGGGTCTGTCATTCTAAGTGTGAGGCAGAGCACAATTGAAGTTTTACAGAGCTCTCATTTACTTCAGCATCTGGCATATGGTAAAGACTGTAACAGGTCTCAATGAAAATTTAAATGTCCACTCTTAAAAAAAATGCATTTCAGCTGCTAACTTAGGGTCTCTGTCTCTGGAGTAGCACTTGGATAATTCTGAACACCGTGGTAGCAATCACTTGGAGAGTTCTGCTTAAATGTGAGATGGCCTTACATTCTGAAGGCCCAGAAATCCTAAGAAAACATTTTTGTAATGTCATGAATATGACAAGCTCCACAATAAAAGACACTGCTATCAACAATGTCATCAGCATAGTATATTGAAGCGATGGGAAAAGCCACTAGATAGCTTGGGTTGCAGAGTATGGGGGGGACTATTTATGAAGCCACCAAGTCCAGAAGACTTTTCAGTATTATTATTCTTTATTACTTTGGTGCTATACAGACAGAGCACTAATCTGAATCCCAGATTCAGATAATAGTGATTTAATCCCAGATAATGATTTCTCCTCTCTAATCCTTAATAATATGGGTGAACTGTCTCACACCATACATAAAAATAAACTCAAGGTAGACTTAAGACCTAAAACCATAAAACTCCTAAAAGAAAACATAGGCAGTAAACTCTTGAACATCGGCATTAGCAATTTTTTTCTAATGCACAGGGAATATGTCTCCATAGGCTAGGGAAACAAAAACAAAAATAAACAAGTGTGACTACATACAACTAAAAGGCTTCTGCACAGCAAAGGAAACCATCAACAAAAGAAAAAGGCACCTATGGGAGGAAATATTGGCAAACAATACATCTGACAAGGGGATAATGTCCAAATATATAAATAATCATACAACTCCACAGCAAAAAAAAAAATCTAATTTAAAAATGGGCAGAGGACCTGAATAGACATTTTTCCAAAGAAGACATACGGATGGCGAAGAGACACATGAAAACATAGACCTTATCACAAATCATCAGGGAAAAGCAATTTAAAACCACAATGAAATATCAGCTCACACCAGTCACAATGGCCACTACCCAAAAGACAAGAAATAACAAGTGTTGGCAAGGATGTGGAGAAAAGGGAACCTCCTACCCTGCTGGTGGGAGTGTAGCCACTATGGAAAGCAGTATGGAGGTTTCTCAAAAAACTGAAGGTAGAAACATCAAATGACTCAGCAATTCCACCTCTGAGAATCTACCCAAAGAAAACAAAATCATTAATTCTAAAAGATGTATGCACCCCTATGTTTATTGCAGCATTATTTACAATAGCCAAGACATGGAAACAACCTTAGTGTCCATTGGTAGATGAATAGATAAAAAAGATGTGGTACATATACACAATGGAATACTATTCAGCCACAAAAAAGATGAAATCTTTCCATTTGCCACAACATGGATGGACCTAGAGGGTATTATGGTAGTGAAATAAGTCAGACAAAGGGGAATACCATATGACTTCACTTAGGTAGAACCTAAAAAATAAAAGATGAATAAAGAAAATAGAAATAGACTCAAATATAGAGAGTGAACTGGTAGTTGCCATAAGGGAAGGGGAAGGGCAGACAGAGAAAATAGGTGAAGAGGATAAAGAAGCACAAATTCCCAATTATAAATAAGTCATGGGGATGAAAAGGGCAGCACAGGGAATATAGTCAATAGTATTGTAGTAACTTTGTATGGTGATGGATGTAACTACACTTATTGTGGTGAGCATTTTGTAATGTACATAATTGTCAAATCCCATGTTTACAACTGACACCAATATAATATTATATATCAGCTACACTACAATAATGAAAAATATAACATGGTTGACATTTAAGGATATTTTCTTGAAATTAACATCTTTGAGCTTGATTTGAATCATGTCGGAAGGGTTCTGTGCCATTAGAAAGTTGGTCCTGTGTGGTTTCCAAAGCAGTTGCAAAAATAAATGTTGCCTCCAAAACACAGCCAAATTAAGTATTTCAGATCAAATAAAATGTCTTGCCAGTGAAGTTATATTATAAATATGACAGATAATTCAGGGACATCAGCCAAAGTATGCAAAATACATCATCTGGATGATACCAGGTAACTAAAATAAAACTTTTGCAGAATATAAGAAGAAACTCTTGGGAATTAAATGGCTCTGATAGATGACTTGGGTTTTCCACAGCTGGGAGACCCTGGTCTGTCTTGTTTACTCTTGGGAACAAGAATGCCTGCTTCAGAGTCAAGGCTCCATGACTGTTTGTTGAATGAATAAATGAATAAATGGATGTTACACAGTTTGCATTATCATCCCCTCTTTACTGATAAGGAGACCAAAGCCCCAGAGGAAGGACCCCACCTGAGATTATCTCCCATCCCCGCTCACAGGCTGTGAAGGAATAGAGATTCACATAACAAAGGCTCCTTTGCCTTTGTTAAATCTCTAATACTTGATTAATGTACTTTACTGGATTATTAATAATGAACTGGATGTATGGCTACAATTTACTAAAGCTTCCAAGTTACTTATTAGTGGAATACAGTGCTCATTTTTTCAGTAGAGTAAGTGAACACCCAGAATGACGCCCAACATCTCTGTTACGGGCCTGACATCTTGGCTGACAGTTGCTGTTCTGCAACTCCTTTCTCTGGGTCAGGCCCGTCTTTAAAAATCTATTCATCCACGCTGGTGAAGCCAGCCCCTCTCAGTCCACATCCCCGCGGCACTGCGTGCACTGCATCTGTCATATTCACCCACACAGAAGGTCCCTTGGTGTGCACAGATGGTTATTTTAGTCCTTTGACCCCAGCTGGAGATAAAGGCAGGGCTCCTTTCCTCTCTGTCACTCACTGCAGACTTCTTATCACACGGCTGAATGTCCAGAGGGTCCCAAGTACAAATGCTGAATGAGTTTGTTGTTCCAAACAAATGATTTGTGACCCCACTGCTCCCAGGGATGCCTGCAGGGTAACGGAAAACCAGAGGGCAAGAGTTCTAGTCCCGCTCCTACAAGCTGAGCGGCCAGAGCCAACATTGTGCAAGCCAGTTGCTGAAACTGACAGCGAAATTCCAGGCACTGTGGCAAACAGACAGCAGTTTGGGGAGGGGAGTCTTTGGTGGCATGGCAGGGCAGCCACCTTCCTTCCGGACGCCTTCAGCTTGGATGCAGGCAGGTTCCCTGAGGACGATTCGTCCCTACATCTGTCACCGATTAATCCAGCTGCTGCCCTGCAAGGGAACTGTTCTCGCTTTTCACTCCCACACTGAGGAAGAATGGGAGAGCAGAGTGAAAACCTGGCTCACATGGAAGACCGGTACACTGTGTTGCTGGAGGACCGTGTTCACGATAAAGACAAAGGACAAACAAGACAGAGCGAAGGACGGGACCTCACAGATCTACTGTTGGCAGGAAATATGCTTAGAACATTTTGAGGGGTGGAGTTACTTTTCCATTTGTAAGAAGAGCTTTCACTGAGACAACCATGGTCTGTCCCCAAGTCCAGGCAGGCAGAAGGCGCTGCCACAGGACAGAGTCGCCTTCTCTGGTCAAAGCCACATGACCCACATAAGGCTCAAAACAGAGCCCTTCTCTCTGCTGCCATCAGACTTTGTGTAAGCAAAGATAACTGGCTCAACTGTTCTGTCAAAAATGTTTAAAGGCCTCTTGCAAATGACAGAAATCTTCAACCTGCCTGAATGTTTGCATTTGGGAAAGCCTCTGAGATTTAGAGTCTGCTCTGAGAATATAAATAAGTCTAGAAGGAGTTGTTTATTCTCTCCCTGCACCTGAAACTCCCACCCCACTGTCTCCAGGTACAGAAATCCTATCCTACTCCCTGACTCAAACGCCTCCTTCTCCATAAAGACCTCGTGACCGCCT